TAAGTAAGTAGGTAAGTAAGTAAGTAAGTAAGTAAGTAAGTAAGTAAGTAAGTAAGTAAGTAAGTAAGTAAGTAAGTAAGTAAGTAAGTAAGTAAGTAAGTAAGTAAGTAAGTAAGTAAGTAAGTAAGTAAGTAAGTAAGTAAGTAAGTGCATAATTAAGTAAGTAAGTAAGTAAGTAAGTAAGTAAGTAAGTAAGTAAGTAAGTAAGTAAGTAAGTAAGTAAGTAAGTAAGTAAGTTAGCAAAACTTATTTTTTCTACCGATGTTACATTTTTTTAAGATAGAAAAGTAAATTTTTATTTTAGTAAATAATGAAATGCTTATTTTTAGTCTAGTTTAAGGTTTATTAACGAAATCAGTAAACTTTTCTAGTACTGATGTTGATTTTGGGACAGAACTTAATTTACTAGGTTGTATCTTTCCATTTCTTCAATAGCTTGAATGATTCTTCTAATCTGCCACAAATTATGAATATTCATTCCATTTACCTGTATTAATGGTTACACTGGTTGTGACTTTGTCACTCCTGAAAAAACTCGACTTTCATCGCGAGGCGTCATAATTTTTCTCTAAATGAAGACATTCCAACTGTCAAGACAGAGTTTAACTGGTTTGAATTATTTTTTCTGGTTAGCGCTATGTTTTAGCGATCTGGATTTCTACGGGATAGCGTCACTAACTCCATGCGCAATCCTTCTCTTTCATTCGAGCTTAGGACCGACAGTAACCCTAGAGAAGTTACTGGACTTCACTTTTTGATATTAGTTATACCATTCGAGATTCGATCACATTAAAACAGACATATGATTCGCGACCAAAATAGAGAATTCGAGTAAACGATAGATAATATTTTGTTCGACAAGCGGCATCACATAAACATATGCTGTTTTAATAATGCATGCACTCAAAAGATCTAAGACTTAACATGTATTTATATATATATATATATATATATATATATATATATATATATATATATATATATATATATTCACTTGATACGGTAGAATCATGTCACACTGAAGAGCTTTAATCAAGTTATCTAACATAAACTGAGAATTCATACGTGATGACTGTTTGAATTTTTTCCATTGATGTTTAGGACTGCAATTGATCAGGATGAAACACACGCTGTAGATTCCATCGTTAAAAATTATATAACTTTGCTATTGATAATGTTTTTAATCTAAACGGTGATATCGAGCGTATGCACACAGGATGCACAGGGTATGTCAAAGAGACTGATGACCTGCAGTCCTAAAACATTTACGGGAAGATTCGAACAAGCGAACTGATCTACACCCAGTTACACATGTTAGTGGGAGTCTGGGCTAAGTAGCTAAGTGAATAACATGGTTACATATCAAACGAAGAAACTGAGTTTGAGTACCGGAGTGAACATTAATTCTAATGTCAAATCCGAAATAAGACGAAACTTGAGTCCTGAATTTTATTGCTAGCCACTACTGACCAATGTTAGGAAGGTGGGAATTTCGTTAATTCTTACTAACTTGTTACGCCAGCACGTAAGCACGTCAACTTGATATACTTGAACTATTACGGGTTTACCTAGTCCGAAAACGAGAGCGAGGATCGAGGATCCGGTGACACGACATGATACTCAAATCCGATTATCCCGTCCCCCCGTATTTAGTAAAAATAAGAAGACTTGATATGAAGTAGAACGTGTATTCTACAACCACCCAGAAAGTACGAGGTCCGAATCCAGAAGAGAATCACGATCCCGGCATAGGGATTCGGGACCGGGTACTGGTCGTGGTCATAAAACGTTTCAGATAATGCATATTTATACATTTTGGTCGAATAGGAAACAGCATCGAAATCTGTGACATTGACCAATAGGAAGTAACATTTGAAATGACATTGATAGTCAGGATGACCAATAAGAGACAACATTGAAGAATTTGACTTTGACAGTTAAAACGACCATAATTTTGACCAATAATTCTCTTAGTATATTGGATGAATATCCTAACATAACTGACTTATTTTCACCTGTTACCCCCAATAGAGCTAAGGCCACCAACCAGCATTCTCCAACCTACTCTACCGGCTGCCTTCCTTTCAAGTTCTGTTCAACTGTTGCTCAGTCTTCTCATGGTTGTCTACATTTGTCGGCCTAATGTGCTCTTTCATCTTTCCCATCTCCTTTGACCTTAAGGATTCCAAGTGAGAGTTGGTCTTGTGACGTAGCTGGGTGATCTCCTCAAAGTGTATCGTATCCACTTCCAGCGTTGCTTCTTGAGTTGCAGTCTGGTTTGTTCTTTGTTACAGTAGGCTGTTGCTATTTGTGTTTGACCAACGGATCCGGAGTATTTTGCGCAAATAACCGTTAATGAACACTAGTATCTTCTGGATGATATCAGTTGTAGTTCTCCAAGTTTCCACGCCACACAATAGGACTGTCTTGACAGCTGTATTGAAGATGATGATTTTGGTGTTTGTTGACAGTTATTTTGAGTTGCAGATGCTCTTCAATTGTAGAAATACTGAGCTTGCGTTGCTGATCCATGCCTTCATATATGCATCATATTCATTCTCCAAGCCATCTCAGTCAAGAGTGATTTGGTTGTTGCATGTTGTGTTTTGTCGGTGAATCTTGATTTTCCCTTTGTGTATGTTGAGATCTGCTGCTACACTGGTCCTCTTCTCTTGCATTTGTTGTTGTGTGTGGGATTGAAGGAATTCCCTATGATATTGACTATCTTCTGACTTCCTATAATTCGTTAAAGAGATTGGTATTTACGAGAGAAATATCAGTAAGAAAAACAACTTGCTCTGCTGTTTTTTCATGCGTTAAAAAATATACATTTCGACTAATATCATATACCTGATACATAAATCCCAACTTCCTTTAAACCTTCATACTTAAAGGCTTTTATAAATCTGAATAATCGAAGTTCTTCTACAAGTACAAGACAAAATACTTCACTGATACTTTACACATAGAGAATTGAGATCAGATTGTATCCGAAATTGAAAAAATAGAGAACCAGACTGTCAGTCAAACAATACTTAATTACAATCAGACTTAACTCAATTACTTTAGAGTATAAATCAATAACAGGAAGGAAATAACATTTTAAATAGTTCGTAAGTTGATTATCATCTGTCTGTTTTACACTCACTGATTCTTACTTTCACTAACCAAACATCACTTTTCACTTTCCTACTACTGTTAACTTTATACATATGCCTCATGCAGCTGAAATGATTTTTCAGCACGAAACTGCATACCGAAAATAATTGATCAGTAGGCCTTTCATACGATCGCTTATTAAGTTTGTACATTTGAAAGTATCTGTCTCAGAATATACATTGACAGAACAGTCAGGCAATATCCTAAAGTTACGGCTTGCCTTCTGAAGCAGTTGGTTGCTTTCTACAAAGTGTGTTCTATCCACCTCCGACGCTTTTCCCCAGTTTCTTCCTCAGCTGAAATCCAGTTTGTTCCCTCCCTTCACAGTAAGTTGCTAGTGATGGTGTTTAGCTAACGGATCCTTAGTCACTTGGTTAGACCTCTGAAAATGAACACCTGCATCGTGTGGTTGATGGCTTTCATAGTTCTCCAAGTTTTCACTCCATACGATAGAAGTATTCCCAGCTTTGTGTTGATTATTGTGACTTTCGTGTTAGTTGGAGCAGTGGTTTTGAGTTTTAGAAATTCTTCATTTGAAGACAATATGTCTTTGCTTTTCCAATCCATCCATTAAAATCCGCAGAAGGTGCTCCTTGTGTATCACCGACATGTATCCAGACATGTAAAGGTTTCCAGATCCCTCAAAATTTCTTCATTAGGTGTGATTTGGTTGGTGCATGTTGTGTTGTATCTGAGAATCATGCTTTTCTCTTTGTGTATGTGGAGACTTACTGCTGCTGAGGTTGATGCTACACTAGTCGCCTTCTCGTATATTTATTGTTACATGTGATATAGAAGAACCAGATCATCTGCGACGTTCAGACGGTTTGTCTGCATCTGAACTGAACACTGTATCCCCTGCTTCCCCTAACTTGTTGACGTCTTCATAATCGAACCGACCACCAGGAGAAAGAGGCAGGGTGAGAGGTGGCAGCATTTTCTGTCGCCAGTTTTCACTTGGAATGCGTTTGTAAGCTATCCTTCTTGCACAATTTTTCAGTGTAGTTAGTCGTGTGACGTTGACTATCTTCTACGGTACATCATGGTGTCAAAGAAAATTTCATATAGTTCTCTTATCCACGCAGTTAAATTCTTTCTCGTAGTCAAGGAAGTAGTCATTGGTTCGATTCGTAAATTATATCACTGTACTACTCATTATCGGCCATTATTGAACCATAAATCATAATACTGGTGAGACTATAATTTACGGACGCACCAATTTATTGATCCATACGGTTAACTGATATCAGTTCATGGTGAAAACCTTCAACTCCTTCAATTTCTAACCTTGTCAACCAACTGTAAATCTCATTGCTGATTCCTCACATTAATTGATAACTGTCTTTTAACCTTGGTAAGCAAGTGTTTATCCTCATTTTAGCCGCACTTAAAGTCTCATTGATTCTATCAAGATCAGTCTTTTCACGACATTGTTCAAACGCCTGACAAGAAAAATTATTGGTCCTGACAGTTATTAACCTTGCAGATAAAATTGCGCTAGACTGTAGATTAAGTGAAGTCAAACAAAAACACCGTTGAACAGCGTCTCAGTAGTCTAGATGTTTGACATATACGAGGGAAACCAAGCGTCCTTGGTTCGATTTGTCTTTTGTGCGCACCAGTGATGAGTCCCATACTAGGGCGAAATGTCTTTCCATTGTCTTCATGTTTCTAATATCGAACTAACATTGATCGATCGATGGTTTGAAATGAAAAACTACAATCTCCACAGGTACTGTACTAACATTATACATCGGTCATCTCCACACTAACAATATTATCGATTTTTATTTCAGAAAAGAATATTCTTCGTTCATACATGTTTATTATTGTTATTATTACAACGATTGCCAAATGCCACTCAGGAATCATGTACAACTATTTCTTATCTGTCTATCTGTATTTACAACAACATTCGGTAGTCTTGTCTGTGCAATACATGAACAACAATAAAGACTAGGAATCCGCTGTACATCTCTCTGTATATTTCGATCTTCTTCACTTGCTACTCTAATTTGTTGCGGTAGTTGTTGTTGTTGAGGTGCACTACTACTTATTTCTTCATCAGTAGTAGTTTTCATTTCAGCTAATTCTGTATGATCATTTGAATTAGTTCTGCTTACAATTGTATTCATTGCTTGTTCAATAATTATTGAATCCATGCGTTTATCTGATGTAAAACTAATTTTACACACATGTAACATTTTTAAAGTTTGAAAATAATATTGAAAATAATATTTGATTAAATGTAAAAATTTCGATGATTGACACAATAGAATTGGTAATGTGAATAAATATCGTTGACTAGCCCAAATACGTAATAAACCAGTAGTGAAATGTATAGAACGCATTTGATGAATTGATCTAGTAAGTAACATACTACTATTTAATGTGTTTGTAAGTAGTTGTCTTGAATCAACATTAGTTATCGTAGTAGTATTAGTATTAGTATGTACAACATGGAAATTTGGATTAATATTCTGTGTAAATGATTGAATAGAATGAGGAATAATCAATTTAGCATAGAACCATTCAATAACTTCAGCGAAGTCGAAGAGAATATTCAAAATGCTTAGACAAATCACTAGTTGTGTTGGTTCCGTGAAAATGGTTGGTTTGTTTTGATTGGTTGCGACAACTTGATGTTCACAAGGACGTTTATCATGTTGATGAGGAGGAGCGGGCTGATGAATGTGTTTACAATGAAAACATGAATCTGAATGATAGTAATGTGATTTTTGTATAGCTGTAATTGTTAATAAGATAAGTGAACAAAATGTGATGATGTGAGGTAATACAGAATGACAAATCTGTGAAAAAAAATGGAAATTAAGTGAAGAGAAATAAGCTGATGATAAATTACTTCACAGCTTTAAAATGTACACTAGTTATTATTACTGAAAATACACACTTTTTGAAGGTTGAATTAGATGAAGGTAATTAGACAAGGGATTTTTGTCAGCAGGTATATGACTGAATGGGATGTGATGTCGTGGTTCAAGTCTTGCGTTGACGATTAACACGGAGATTTGGAAATATATAGCTGACGAGTTTCATATATAGAGCAAAACATGTGTTGCCGATATTTACTACGAGCTTGATTTTATCGCGGTTCACGTAAACTATCTGTCAAAATGGCTAATATGAGGGCGATCCGCATAGAATGCTTATGTGTCAATCAAGACTGACGATTTCAAACCTGGAAGCACTGGATAGCCGTTTGTTCCTGGTAAGGGACTCATCATCAGTGCGCATCCAAGACTCCTGCACCTCGCAGGATTCGAACCCAGTAGCTTCGGTTTTGCGAGCAAACACCCAACCTGTGGACTACTGAGCCGGCATCTAACGGTGTTAATGTCTAACTCTGATCGATCTACAGATTTTTATCAGGACAAAACGGCCTTCCAGTGCTTCTAGGTTTCTAATGGTGGTCTAACAATGGTTGATTGATTATTTCTAATTTTCGCTGAAATTTCCTATCTTTGAAACAAATAATTTCCGGTAGCATTCTAAGGAAACTTATACCTATCTGAAATAAAAAATACCTCAGAAATTTTGACTAAAAACTGACTTCAAAGTCTCATTGGACAATGTAAATTAGGCTTCTTCAAGAAACAATGCTCAACGATAATTCTAACAAACAATGTTTTTAGAAAATCATTGAAATCATAAGTTGTTCAATGTCAGTTAGACCACCATTTCGGAAACCTGTAACGAATCGGACGATAGTTTTGTTATTGAATGGAACTCATAAGCGATTTGCATGCATGACTTCGATAGTGCTCGGGACCTTCGGTTTCACGCACAACTGCTTAATCTCTAGATCACTGAGTTAGCGTCAAACGGTGTTAAGTTCTCGCTCTAATCATTCAGAGACATTATGCGACCATCCTCTGTTATCTCCGATGAGTAAATGCCTCACAACCAACATAGTTGAACTGCAGTAGCTTCTTTCAGGAACTCCGAGATTTCCCTCTTAAAACTTATCATTCGCGCCTAAATGATAGTTATCAGCACAGAGTTGAGTTGTTAAGGTTGAACAAATTTACGATAAGTGTAGGTTGGATTGTTTAAAAAGACAGTATAAAACCTTCATTTAAAAGCGAGGCAACTCAAAAAAACATAAGCATACTTAACTCATTGGATATTTATATTCCGTATTATTAAGTATTCTGATGGCAGATTATATAAACTGTCAAGATTCTAGTGAAATGTTCACTGTGTGGAAATTTCGCATTTTTCAACTGATAATTTGAACTGTGCTAAGCTTACATAAGATAGTTACAAACAAGGTGAAACGCTTAAGATAAAGTGTTTAGTGAAAATTGCAATTTAACATACAGGAGCCACCAACAAAATGAAGGGAGAAAGAGGTCTGGATATGATAAACGACATGAGTGACTCCAAAATTACCTTGAATGATTTGTACATAAGTCAACCCTGGAATAAAGTATTCATCTCTTGAGTTTAAGTTTCAATGAAGATTTTAGTCTGGGGTATTTTGAAGTGGATAGAAATTCAGATCTTGCTTTCATTAGACAGACTTGTGATCCGATGGCTAGACACTGACATCAATAACGTACTATGTGAGAGTAACAATAAGATTCTAACTGAGGAAGAAATTAGACAGAAAACTTAAGACTTGGATAGATAACACTTTCAAACTAAATGACAAGACAAGCTGTCATATTGAATCCTCAATGCAAATTATAGAGAGGAAGACCAAGAAACATTTTACTTTGGAAAAACGAAGTAGGGATATGAAAGAACGGTTAGCACTTAGGCAGCAAATGAAAGGGAGAGTTCAAATCAAAGTTAATTGGAGAGTCCTGATCGTCGGACATGAATAGTAACACGTAGAAGTAAATGAGTAAATCGCAGTTTTGAAAATAAAAACACAAAATAGGAACGTAATATTTGAGTAATTATAATAAATCTTTAACAAGACGAATTCAATAAAACTATCAACGTCATTATCAATGTTCAATAATCAAGAGATTTGTTTCGAACATTTTTTTAGGTCTGATGACAGTTTAAATGTAATCATTATTTCGCTAGTGATATCAAGATTGTTTTATCAAATACTGAAAGTGTTCAAGAGTAAATTTTTTCTACAAAACTTTGTTTTGAAATAAATTATGAACAATATAAAATATCCAATTCACTCTGTGTCAAGTCAGGCAGCCAAACCAAAACATGGCACAAATCCATGAAGTCATTGACAAGTGGACTGAGTTATATTGGCAGATGTGGACTACCTGGTTTGGGTCTGCGAGATGAAAGTCACCAATGGTTAGGGACCTTGAATGAGAGTTTTCAATGGCGCAGGTGCATCCAGTCTTTGTGTTCTCTCAAATTCTCATCTTCTGGATTCATCAACACCTCTGCCTTTGTCTTTCTAAACTTATCTCATCGAATTATACTTCTTGAATAATTTCTGCGAACCCTAATCTTCTCCATTACCAGTAATACTTTACTATCTCTACCAATCGAGGATTTGAATTGACAATTGCATCTCTGTGCTAGTGTCGTATGGCAACCTGAACTGATATACTTATGTACGAAGTTCAGTGTTGTAACTGACCTACTAAATGATTGAAGTAG